AAAAACTTTGAATAATTGCGTCCGTCACTTCTTTCTTTCAGTCAACTAATCGCAGTGGTTTACAAGACACTAAGACGCGGTATTTTTTGTGAAAAGGATAATTTTTGTAGTTTGCAAACTTTATAATGATTTGACTTTGGTGAAACGGTAAAAGTGACCAAAAGATACTTGAAGTCATTTACCATCTTAGATGTCATTTTCTGATTAAAACGACCTATTAATGAAGTTCGAAATATCAAAATACCTTAACAAGTAGAGTTTTCAATGACGATGTTTTAGCTGGTCTAAATAGAGATCTGTAAGTTGTATAATTTTGGATTTCATGACAAGTTGCACAATTTTATTGCGCGTGCGACGAAAGAAGTCCGCCAATGAGCCACTCCGGAAAACATAAGAAGGTCATTAGCCTCAGCACAACATTATTTTCAAAGTTCATGAACACACATTAAGCCGGTTTCGCCCTTCTAGGTGATCAGCATGTGTGATGAATCTCTGGATTTTTTAGCTAAGGTACCTATTTGTGTGAGATTATACACGTAGTTAACGCAACAAAATATCAACTGAATCTCCTGTTTGGAATAGATGTAGAAAGCGTTATCGAAAAATTTCACAGCGATTGGCCTTCGAGATTGGGACCGATTGTTACTTTATCCTGTCACATTCATAATATTATCATAGATATTGAGAGTAACAAACCAGCTGTTTTGTCAAAACAAGGATGAAAATGTTGGTGATATTTATTCCAAAAGAAGCAACTTGAACTCTGTTAAAGTTCGTGCAACGAAATGCGGCAAAGTTGTCGAAATTCTTACCGCAAGTTTCATGCACTGTACAGACAGAATTATGTTGCAGTCACGTTGATCGAGTCTCATGCTGCGGCGGAAAGGGGCATTTCTTTTTCTCAGTATGAATCATGAATTATTGTTGAGTCTTATACCAATAGCCTCTCAGATTAGGGTAAAAGATGATAAAGTTGTTTGCACCTAAAGAGAATCAAATACACAGAATCAACTTGAGGGAACGCACAGATTTAGTTATGGAAAACAGGTAAGCAGTTGTACTTTAAAGGACCATCACTGGCAGTTGCGATAGTTCATTTTCGTCTCTAAAGCTGGTCAAATAGATCACACTGTTCCGTTCATTTTCACCCCCGTAGAAGTTAAACTCCAGTTGAAGTACCAGGCTTTTCCGGAGAAGGCTTACTTTTGGAATAGACATTCTCTGTGAGAATTATAATCCTTACAGGTTGAAGTTAGTGTTTTTGCGGAGATAAGTTAATTTTTACACCACGTCTATTTTACAATTTTAATAGAATTTAACTTAGATGAATTCGTAAAAATTGATCCTCCTTGATGAAAGCTGCTTTACGGCTCTAAACAAAAAACCACAGTGCTATCATTTAGACATAGCCAAATTGTACTGCTCAATCACCATCAGAGAGTATGTGAGTTAAAAAGTGTGTAAACCTTATGATTCTATAATGTGAATAAAATGTTCTATGTTTATTCATAGAATAACTCAGTTTTGTGTTTACACTACAACCGTTCAAAAACAATTTTTGTTTGCCGTACAACCATAGCTCAGTTGAAAGTTTTATTGTGGAAAAAGAATAATTTACAATTTTAATAGAATTTAACTTAGATGAATTCGTAAAAATTGATCCTCCTTGATGAAAGCTGCTTTACGGCTCTAAACAAAAAACCACAGTGCTATCATTTAGACATAGCCAAATTGTACTGCTCAATCACCATCAGAGAGTATGTGAGTTAAAAAGTGTGTAAACCTTATGATTCTATAATGTGAATAAAATGTTCTATGTTTATTCATAGAATAACTCAGTTTTGTGTTTACACTACAACCGTTCAAAAACAATTTTTGTTTGCCGTACAACCATAGCTCAGTTGAAAGTTTTATTGTGGATAAAAGAATAAAAGTGGATGTAAACGAAAGAAGGAGCTAGTGTCAGCCTACCACAATGCTTCAAAGGTGCCTGCACCTCCAGACATTCATCGAGACAATTTGAATAGGCAACGTGAATTCTACTAACACTGCTCAGAGGGCATATCTTTCAGTATCTCCAACCATTCACATGAAGGATTGTGCGGATCTGATCCTGCAAGGCCCGCCGTATCGACAGTACCTTGACTATTCCTAATAAATAAAAAACCATCCAGTTGTAGCATTCTTCTGGCGCCCAGCTGCCATGCCACCTAGAAAAAGCTCGAGAGCTGGGATACGGCCATGTTGCCCAAGCTCTGACAAGGAAATTCGGGATGCATAGGTCAAAAAGCTCTCCGCAGTTTCTTTTATACTTTTCTCTCAGATCAGAGGTTAAGTGACTCTCTGCTTGCACCATCGTATGTACTCTTTCTACATAAACCTTTTGTACTGAAGACATTTCAGTCAAAAATGTTAAATCTCACCACCTTCTATACTAAACAGACCTGATGCGCCTTAGATATTTGCGCAAGTCTTCCGTGATCGACTGTGAAAAACAACCGAAAAAGGTGTTATATCACTATTAGTCAGTTTGCTAGACCTTTGGAACATTCTACTTGAAGCCCAAGTAGATTCGCTTACAGTCAGAGCTTCTGCGAACCTTGATTGAAAGGAGGCCAGTTTTTGGAACAAAAATGTCAAAGAATAATTAATGCCTTAAGCATTTAGTTAGCGTTTGCTTTATTTGTGTCTGAAGCCTTCATACTGTTTTTCAAAAACGATGCAAATCATTTCATAAAGTGAGGTAAACAAAATATTCAAAATATAAAACGTTTTTCTATTCTATTGTTATTTTAAAAATAGGAAAACAGGTGGAAATATTTTACAGACTGAGTGGTGGTATTTAGTCTTGCAGAGTTCTTCATTGAGAGTGAGAATTATTTAATTTAAATCTTCTAAAATCACCTTTCCGCTGCATTTATTAGCAAACGAGGGTAAACTGCCAAAATCCGTTATACGATTTACTGCTCAAATGACCGTGTTTTTGTGCGTCAACTCCCACGTTTGACTGCTTGTAAAACGCTACCGTTTTTTTCGACTTTCTATGCAGTTGTTAGTAGCATCTTCCACGGTATTCTGCTAGTTAGTGAGACGCTTTGTAGTATAGGATATGAAAAACTGCCACGTTACTCTCATAAGAGATGGTGCTTGAGCCCAAAGCCAAGATAAACATTGCAGCTGCATACAGTCCTGCATGCGACACGAGCTCAAAACTGTATCATACTAAATTCGTTAACTTGATTCCCTTCAAACGAAGAAAACATGCTGCTAGCACTTTTGTACTTAGAATAATGCCTTTATCATGTTCCCATTCTCTAATTTATTTGCTTATGTAGTTCAGTAGAGCAGAGATTCTTGCATTTATCTGTGCCAGAACTGGAGCCAACCATGTAGGTATTTGTTGAGGTACTACTCATTGGATATCCGCAGCGTGTAAAATGCACGCCAAAGTAACTAGAATAGCAATCTATATGTGCAGCTACATGTGTAACACGTGTTTTTTCTTCCAACCAAGTGTTACATGTCTTCGCTTTAGTGAGTGGGAAATTATCAGTAATCCTATCGGCTAATTTTTATAGCTCAATTAACGTAAGGAGAAAATGTCTGAGTAAGCCGTCATTTTCTATCTTCCTCAGTGAGTTTTGCTATTTTATCACAACTATCGCAGGCTCCATCTTTGTTAAACTAAGTACTTCCTAGCAGCTTGATCAACTTAAGAATGGCTTTTTTATCTTTGTACGCCTCAAGCAACCTTGGTATTGCACTCTGTACATATTTGAGCGTTCTTGCATTACTGGGTTTTTTTTATATGTAAGGACAAGTAGGACAAGTAGCCTAATAGTGGTTATGCTAAATCTAAACTGTTTCAACTTTTGCAGATACCATTTGCGCTACACTGTACGTTGAGCAAACATTTAGCGCTTAACAGAAAGACTGCACTGACTACGCAAAATATTACCACAAAAGTATGCGTTTTGTTAAAAGCTAGCTAACCGACTACTCAGTTTGTCTTAACAGTGTGTTTGCTGAAGTTTATACAATAAAATCCCACTGTCTATTCCGCTCCACCTTCCTAAATACTGATGGTAAAATTTGTCTCAACGACACTCAAATTTTTCATTTCAACCGTAGTAACAGTATCTGTTTGACCATAAATAGCGCTGGCATTTTCCAGTTTACTTCCAAAGGCGTAAATAAAGAGCCAGTTTCCTTTCTTTAGAGTATGTTCGCATAGATGTTTATATGATCGTTTGGGAACACTTAACAGATTTCTGTAGGCACTGATAGTGAACAGTTGTGTTTCCGAAGTTCCTTCTAAAATAATAGGGAGAAGCCACAAATCTAATAAACATTTGTTGCACGAGCTTAGGTGTAACCTAGACAGGTTTGGTCAAAGGGGATTCATCCTATTTGAACGTTACAATCTAATGCCACGAACTTCCATAAGTTACGTCAACAATGACAATGAATTTAGATGCACCTGAATAAACTTCCAGCTAGTCATAAAAATTTAAAAAGATTGAAATATGTTTAGATGCGTGAATCTAACATCTGCTTATGAATGCTTCTGTAGAAATGAAAGATAAAACTGCTGGCCTCTCATGCAGTTTCGTATCCATTTTTGCCTACAAACCAAGGCCTACGAAACAGCGTTTTTAAACAGGGTTCTTGCATGTAAGTGCAAACAACAACCTTCACAATGACATTTGTGGTGCTTAAAGTTGATAATCATAAATAGTATTCCAGGAAGTGCCTATCAGGAAACGGTTACTGGTGCGTATTTTGGTTTTGATTGTGTACATAACGAAAAGTAACTACTGGGCAGTATTAAACAATGCCACATCACTAACGATCCCGATTGCATTAGGATTAATAAACTTGTTTGTTTAAGTTCAATTGCATCCGTCTATATAGTATATCTTCCGTAGTCACTCTGTTGGCAGCAATGAGGAATATTAGGAATACTGTCATGAGTGAAGCCCTTCACACAACTTTTATTTCTACGTGAGCTTGGGTTTGAATAGCGATAATAAGTAGATATGCAAAAAGGTGTAGAAACTTACATTAGACTCGGTAGGTTTAAAATCCGGAGAAACTTCGTTTTCTTCTTCGCTAGTTCCCCTGAAATTTGACTTTTTGTTTGGACTGGAATCAGAAAGTCCTGCGTTTGAAGTTGTAGGAGAGTGAACTGCATACGCCTTCCTCAGCCTTTTGTTCTTGAAATAGGACTTTCGTTTTTGAGATGTAACAGCATGAGCGTTGTACGAGAAGTACGACCGATCAAGTGAATCATGGACCGGGGATACAAACGAAAGATCGATGCTTTTTGTTTGTTGTACACCTATTCGTTCATTCATGGGAGGGGAGTTGGGCTCTGTATATTGTACCGGCTTCTGTACGTGTGAAAGCTGTTTTCGGCCAACCTGAATTCCATTGTGGTTTGTAGAATTCAAAAAGTTTCCAACTGCATCCCTGATGGCTCTTCCCAAATTGTCTACATTCTTGTTCTCCTCGTTCATCTCATTTGGTTGTTGAATCTGTACTGGGGTTGCACCCTTTGTCAAATCTACTGGAATGGGAACGCTAGTTTCGCTAATGAACATCCGTTCTTCGGATTCCCTCAAAGAATCGAGAAGCAAATTTGTCTTAAGGTAAACGTCTTTAGTTTTGTTTACTCCATCCAAGTGCTGGGATACAAAGCAATCAGCTTTCGGTAAGAAACGACTGTCCGAGGCCTGATCAACACTTTGCCTAGCAAGGAAGATAGAAGACTGATCAAGTTCTCCATCGTTTTGTATGTTAAAGCTCATGTTGCCGGGGAGATTTTCCAAACCAGTCAAGGCTGGAAAGATTGTGTTTTGCAACAAACTGAAATAAACGTCTATTGAATGTTGTAAAGCATAGGCTTTTTCAAGTAATCCTTTGTAACAGAGGAGCATGGCTTCATAGTTTGTATGTCCAGTCTTGGGAATTGGAATATTATGTATGCACGTACTGATTGCTTCATAAATACTGTTCTTGAAATTATGCGCCGTGTTGTTTATTAAATTAGACATGCCCATTTCGGAATCACGAACTGAATTTTGTAAATTCTCACGATGTGACTGATTGACGGGCAATAACATCCCCGGTATTTGTGCATTACCTGGATCCAACAACGCCTGAAAAGGTTTTTTACTGGCATCCGATTCCAACTCTCTGAAGCCTCCATCTTTGGACTTTGTATTAATTTTTTCAGCACAGAATAGAGAACTGCAGGTAACTGGGGATTGAAGTCGAGTTTCCGGCGGAATCTGATACTTCAACAACAGGTAATCAAGAAGCAGGTTGTATATCCTCTGTTGATCAAGTAAAGAACTTGACGCACATGTAGCTGGATTCTTCTGTCCGTCGTAAGAAGCTGCAACATTGTTTGCTACACGATCAACTTTGTTAATTAAATTCACCGGCTCGAACTTCTCTCCATTCTCCGATATCGACTCATCATCGGCATAATCGTTGCCATTACCATCTCTTTTCTGTGGAATATTTGTTTTCCTCTTCCGCTTGTTAACCTGATAATAGTACTTTTCATCGGGTGTGTGTGAACTGTCATCAGTGGACTCCTCAAAGGTGGCAAGTTCGTGCACGGTGTGAATTATATCACTGCGTGACATTATGCGTAGTGAAAATTACTCTTGAGAGTGACTGGTAAATGAGAGCTTGACGCGGCTCTGCTCACACGATAACTGACGATGCACACGAAGGCCAGTTGAAGAAGCACCGTATAAATTATAACCCTTGGTCAGCGCATTGAAACATCATAGTTCAACGAGCTTCGCAAGTCCCGTCAACCAACCGGCCGATAAATAGTAAGCGGATAGTTTAACTTCCCTGTAAGTCTCTTCACATCAGGTGGTCTAAGTACGAGCCGCAAGTCAAAGGCACATAGACCTGGGCCAGTCGTTTATCTGTGCTGGCCAAATGGTAAAGAGACTAGATAGCATCGGCTCTAGGGCTTGGAACTGCAATGGACCAGGTCCATTATTTGTAGTGAGAGATAGGAAAACCATAATTCCCCATTAGATATGGAGAAGTTTTTTTATTGAATGGAGCTACTGGACAGGTGGCTTTACCAATGGCGGGAAAGCCCCTGTTTTATTCTGTAGCACACTGTTACGAAGGCCTGTCCCGCCTGAGGCTGGGTGTAGCTTAGAAGGCCGTAGGACGTGGTCTCTCGGGTCTTCGGATGCGGTCTTGGGGTTACTCTTCCTTTCCTGGTAATGCAGAACAAGTCATAGTGCAAACCTTGCAAGCCTTTGCAACATGACGGCATTTAGCGTTCACAATCGTGTGGATGGCAAGAGCACGGGTGTGGCTATTTGACGTAGCTCACGTAATTCCACTCACCAACGCACTATAATGTGAGGTGTTGGGTGGTGATTACAAGATTTGCGTACCCGTATCGCACGGGGTAGTAGGGTGGGGTGGCGTTAACGTGCCACGTTTTTTTGTAAGGTGAGGCCAAAGTCTGGTGGGTATCAGGTAACCCTGAATCATACAGCTAGAAGAACTATTAGCGCCACTTCTCTGAAGTAGATATATCCGCCAAAAATTTTGCAATAACTGAAACGGGACTGAAGATGTGTCCCGGGCGGGTTTGGTGAAGTTTTGTGGTAGCGGGCCTCGTGGCGCTCGAGTGTCCGAATGGCAGATTTGGGACTTTATGAGGGTGTTGCATTGACCGCTCCTACACGCACTGCTTTAGCATATTCATGGGGCTATTGTTGCATAGCGTGGCGTCTAATTATTTAGATACACACAGTAGGGATCGTATCCTCCGCCTTTTTAATTCTAAACGTTGCTGTGGATTTTTGAGTCCGATTCCGTTTTTGGTATCCATCATCTTCAAGCATACAAGTTGCTCAGAATCCTACGTCGGAAGCTCGGCGCGTCTTAATGTGAGGAAGCTTAATTGACACAGTTTATATATAATTGAAATAAATACCCAGAACATCGCAAACGATAGATCCAACTAGGTTCCATGGGGGTTACTCTAAAAACCAAATTAGTTTGCAAATGAGTGTATATGCGCCAAATACCCAGACATTTATCAATGAACCCAATATACTTTTGTAACCTGTATATGACGCGAGAACATTAGGGAAACTTATTGACAAAAGGATGTGCCATACGATATCCAATGAACGACTTACAGTGAGAATGGGTGATCTAGAGGCGGACTATGTTGAGCGGCCATTTGAGGAACTGGAGCAAGTGGCGGAAGCGGCTACTTCGGAAATACAGTTTTACCTTGGAACCACTTCGAGTAGGGATTAAGGTACATCATCCGAGCATGAAATTGCAAAGAGGACCATGAAACTGGACATTTCAAGTGACGACGAAGCGAGCAATTTGAGGTTTGCTTTCAGACGAGACTTCCGCACAATCGCGGAAGTGAACCTTAGAATTGAACAGGTGAAAGAGGATTATTGGACGCTAAGTTATCCTACCTTACGCAGTGTCGGCACTACCATTATTTTGACGAGTATAAGGAAGTCAGGGTTCGTCTGGTTGTTTGGTATTGGGTCCGACTGGTATGATGAAGCCACACTCATATGATTGGTGAAAATGTACGCACATACCTTTTATATCTGACTGCCGTTCCTGCCCGCTGCCTTAGGCCGGAAAAAACTTGTCGATAAGGAACACAACAGCTTCATTGAGAACACGCTGGTGCGTGCGAGTGCAACACTTACATCATCGATCCGGGCTGTTGCCAAATTCATTGAATGCGAGACTTCATGCAGTTACCGGAAATGAGTCGAACATAATGAGCCACTATTGTCTCTAAATTGCACATTTGAAGTAAATGCTTCTCCGGATGTTGCCTTGTTGCGTTAGCAAGGGGAATATGCTTTCCCACCTTCTCCAATCATGAATGTCAAAAAAGCAGACCGACCAACAAATGCAAGTTTGCGGCTTCTGGTGCTTATCACTTCGTTTGGTTTTTATCCTTTCCGAAATTTATTGCACCTGAGCTTCATCTGTACTTTTAGGTGGCTCACTGATTGTCTCATTGTATTTTTAGCCTTACTTTTCAACTGACCTTTCGCATTCAATTTGTATGGTAGCAGAGGTCATAAATTGCTAGAATAACGCTTAACTGTATTTTTGTTTCCCCCGCCTATAGTATATTTGTATGATTGCACCTGGTCTTGCACCCCGTTTTCCGAGTTACATTATTCTGCTTCATTCGGTAACACGATTTCATTCACAGCGCCGCAATGTGACACAGCTCATGTAAATCCAATTTAACAACGAATGCTCTTAAGCCCATCGAATTAGAAAGGAAGACAAACCTCATGTTAGGTTAGTTTCCTTTCCACAATATTTGTTCTTTGATTAGGGGTTCTGAGCTTCTGGACTCAGTTTAGATTCAAAATCTCAGAGTCGTAATCCGCCACTTTGTGGAAAGATGGGGAGCCCACATATAAGGTGAGATATTGGATGCATATACACAGCCAAGCTTATATCATCAACTTTGTTGCAGTTTCCGTCAAAACTACATGACGTGTTGAGTTTGGTAATACAGTGGTCGCCCTCAAATCTTCTCCTTTTATTGAAGCATCTCAAACGAACATGGATACATGTTTTCTGAAAATTCCATAAAATACCTAATTGGCTGATCCAGAAGATATAACCGATACGGCGCATTGGACCCGAACAAACCTGTGGTGTACCATCAGGTGCAGGAAAGTAAAAAACTGTAGAACCCGTTTGATTATCATGCCCCAACGCAATGCTTTCATTTTTCAGGTTGCTTTCAACAAATAAACGACTACCGGCTTGAGAGAAGTCTGCGTCACTCGTTTCAAGTAAACACCACGTTAAATAGCAGCACAAGGGCCCTTTCGCGTACATATTTTTCATTCAAACTGGGCACACACCGGAACTTTTTACTGTCCGGGTTTTTTTTATTTATTTGTGACATGTTTAAAATGCTCATTTTTCCTGAATCTGTGCGGATATTGTTTAAAATAAAGGATGTTGCGCGGATGAAGAGCGTCTGGGATTTCTCGGGTGATGTCATCCCACTCCAACTGATATGGGTGCTGAAAAACAAATACGTAGGCTTTCAGTCCCCGGGTCTGAAAACAACGAAGTTTTCCAGGTTTTCAAGAGCATTCCGGTCCCCGCAATACAACGAACATAAACATGTGCGGATTGCCGCACTGACTGTGGATTGCAATTTCAGGCCATTGGTCAAATTTCACTCTTTTTGAAGCACCAACCGTGCAATTCCCGTATTCATTACCAAACCTACAGTATTTCTGCCAGTTTTTATTTTTCTATATGCGGACGATCTCCAAATGGCAGCTTATTCGTCCTAAACACCGCCGTTTTCCAATAAATCTGAGCCCGTGAAAACTACCCCATCGACATATGAATTCATGCGCACATGAAAAGGGAACCATCCAAGCCCCTGTTCTGTAATGTTGGGCCTTGAATTCCTGTAACCTCTCCCCATTACAAATATGATCAAGTAGATGTACCGGGGCCGAATACCCAGTTTGTTTCATCCGCAAATATCGAGCTTTTAGGAGGGCTTTCGCGGCTTTCTGAGATTGAAATTTATCCGCATCAGATGTCCATCAGTGTACAATAGTCACGTAGATAATCATTAGCTTGGACGCGAGGCCATCTTAGAAAATGCTTGGCTAAGGAAATTTAAAAGTGCATTACGTTCTTAGCCACCAGTCCAACCTGGAACAGCCACCTCTGCTTAGAGACTCCTCAGGGTCTGTCGTATTCACATTATCACATTATCATCCACAATGAAGTGACAAGAAAATCTTCGAAACACGCCCCCAATAATAGTATTTGGAGCCGTGAAATCAGTCTGCAAAAACCCGATACGTCGAAATTTCCGCGTCGATGGTGACCATTCAATAAACGAAGACTACAGAGTTGGATTTCAGTGAGTAGGCGCGTGTGTGGGTATAATGTTATAGGCACACCGCCGGCGTTAATAATTTTGCTGCAGTCAACATCGGCAGTTTTTTCGCCTATTCCTCGGCGGTTATTGACCTGGTAGTTTTTCTGGCTTACGTTGAGAAGTGATCCAATTCACCCTGCATTGAGCCATTCTAAATCAGCGCAACGCAACCAACACAATATTTCCAGTGAAATCTGCCCAAGTTATTTTTGTATGCCAAACAAGCTCGTGTCTCCAGGCAGCTTTACAGAAGTTAAAGACGAATGGATGTCAATATACACCATATTATTGAATCTGTCAAAGAAACTGGATCAAGTTCCGCCCGCTGCGGAGACCACTGGACCACGGAATTCAAAAAGAAACTCTGCGCTAAATGAAAAAGTTTCATCCAAACAAATTTGTCCCCAATGAAAACTAGATTTGTTACCATTTTGCGCTGGTCTTCGTTAGTGCCTGCGGCGCATCCAGGACCAAGTTCAAATAAATGTGTTGTTTTATCCGTGATGCTCCTACTGACAAGATTATTGCACACTACCATGCGATGTGTTGGGTTTATTCGCCCATGTGTTTAGGGTGTTACCATACCGTTGGGTGAAAAATACAAACTGGACCTGGGAAGCGCGGGAAAAACCACATAAATGCGTATCGGCCTGTCAGCCCCGGGTCCTGTGGGCAGTAATCGATTCCGGGCAGTTTATGCGTTGAAAGACAAAATAACATACATTTGAATTCGCGTTCCCAAGAGCATACGAGATCCCATCACGACATCATGAAATGATGTCGAATCCTGTTTAGAGGATCACTCAATTTAAAAATGGAGGCAGCGCCAAAGGTTGCCAGGTTGTCAGAATAACTACGTATCTTTGTTAGTAGAGGTGACGAAACGATAGAGGAATTAAAGCGGTAACGGATCACTCCGGGGCAATATCAGCTTAGACAATAACGCTGAGTTGTAGGACCACGAGGGAGTCAAGTTCATATCCTCTGTAAGCCGATACATGTATGTCTGGTTGACCCCGGGATCGGGTGAACATTATTAAATACAGAGTGAGCATGCCAAACCATAAAGTTCAATGGAGCTGGTACGCCTACCGATAAACATTGCTCTGGTGACCGTAAACCATGCCTGGTTCATCCTCCAGTCTGATCTGACCTATTGGGGGAAGCAGAACATGGAAACATTGATCCCCATGCTGGGGCTTTTGAACAGAGATGACGGTAGGATTTTTGTAGATGGGAGGGATGCGTGGCATGGTATAGTAAACGGTGCCAAAACACCTGGAAAATATGACTGACGAAGGCGTGTGGTGAGAAGGTTCGGCTCATGCCCGAAGAACAAGTGGGACGGGGGAAGTAGCAAGGCCAGCTTCACCGCTGGGGCTAGTGAGGAGCAGCGGAGTGGAACACACTTTGGAAGCTGAACGTAATAGTCGGAAAAATGCGGCCGTTGAACTACATGAGTCCAGAAACGCAGGTGGTTTTCCGAACTCGGAACTGGCTGATTGCTGTGATCTTCGGTCCTTGAAAGCCAGTTTTGCCGAATGGCGTGTTAAATTTGTGGATACTTTGCATGGCGAATCCACGAAGATGAGAGAGGCAGAATAAATTATTGACGTTAAGATGAGCAGGCTGAGTCGGAGGGGATGAAGTTCTACCGGACAATGACGGCTTCGGAAACACGGTATTCAAATTGATCTTCGCGGAATGTGGGGGGTTCGGAACCTTGACAACCGGCTGTGATATACCTTGAAAATCTGGGGCTCCTGGATTAAACATGTATTTCTGCAACCTGGTGCGAGTAGGCTGCTAGTATGTTTGCCTTCCTGAAAGACAAGGGAGATGAGAAGATAATATCTGTTCCTACTGCACAGTCAACACTGCCGGAACTCTGGTCTTTTTTTGATCGACCTGAACACAGAGCAGGACTGCCCACACGGTCCCGCTTGATATACCCCACTTGTCACCATTAGTTTTTCTTGTGCGTAAAGAATCGAGAAAATGACGAAAAAACCAGCCCCGGGACGCTTTTGCGAAAGCCTCGATTCCGTGTATCAATCCGTGAATCAAAGGCCCCGTTGAATACCCCAGTAGGCTTAGCGGTTCACCAAAGATCAGTCAGAGGTGCGTTGCACTGCCCTCCCGGTCATTTTGTGTAACAAGTTGCTCCTTTTCAATTGTTTTTGCTTCGAGATATCTTGACACGATGCTTGAGACGCTTTGGACAAACGCAGTCCATTTTGCTCAAAATCCGCCTTTTAGGTACGTTCGAAATTGGTTTCGTTTTTCCCTCGTGCAAATTCGTGAAAACATTTTTCGTTGTTCAATCTATTCACAGAGTACACACGAGTAATTGTTGAATTTTATTACTCTAACAAAACATTTGAGTGATAACCCCTGATATTTTGCGCACACCTACTTTACATCTAGTCCGAAACATGACGTCAATCCATACCGATCGCCCTTTGCAGCCATTGGTAGACCACAATAGATGTGAGCGGAATGGCTGCCCGTCGAACGTCAAACGCGGTATGCAATGCCACGCCTGCAAGGCCTGGTGGCATTTCACATGCACGGGTTTACAGGACGACCAAATAAGCCGACTAGCCAACTCTCCTGACCCGTTTGTCTGTGCCAGCTGCCTCTATGTCAAGGGTGCAATGCATACCGCAGCGAAGAGAAGAGTCCCCCGAAACGGTACCCAATCCCCAGTGCAGATGCCGAAAGACCACTGCCAGTGTTCCGCTTTAATCGGGATACTCGACGCGAAAATAGAGCGTCTTTCGAAGGCACTGGAGGACTCAGGCGCTAAGAATGCAGCGACCTGGGCGAAAGTCGACAAGGAACTTTCCTCGCTGAACCAATACCTCGCGATGTCCATACCGGGTCCCATGGCTGAGAAGAAAGTCATACAACTTTCTGACGCAGCTATAAAAACCGCCACAGCGTCTCTAGTGGACAGACACCTAATGGAAATCAGACTAATAATCTGGGGGTCATTCTCCGGAAAAATCACGCCAGCAAAGCTGGCACAGTCGATCCTCAGCAAGCCTGATCAATCGCTCCACGCAGAATGGCTACGCCGAAAGGGAAGTAAGCGAACCCTTGGACTTCTAGTCACTCTTTCTTCCCCGTCCTACGTACAGGCAATCTTGGAGCGGGCTGGCAGCATTCAAAAGGCCAACCCAATGATCAGGCGCCTATCTGAGGATCGTCCTCTAGACGCGCGCAA